AGCTGTACCTGTTCTGCATGATGCTCCAGACCAGCAAACTCCTCAGAGCACTCCAAAGACAAATCAGTCTTCTGTCACCCACTCCAGAAGTGTTCTTCCAGAGGTGAATACATGCTTCTCCCCAGTGAATTAATTTCAAACAGCATCTATAAAGCATGTTCTTACCCTTCAAATAAGATGTAATATAATACTTCAGGCTTGAATTTGATGTGATGATGGAAAGCCATTTAAGGTTTACAACAAAAGTTTTCTAAAACCCCAATAATGAAGTGATTCTTATCCTTTACCAGGGTGTTACTTCATTGACTATTGGCTGCAATACAAAAAGAAAGTTTGGCTGATCACATTTATAGTGTACTATAAATCTTATTTCTTTTTAGGGCTATAACTTAAATTTAAGTAACCCTTGTACACTTGGTTAAAAGTCCATCCTGTGAACCAACAGCTTTACAAAAGAGGCAGATTATAATTGGTGTTTTGGTTTTGTAGAAATATCAATTTCACAAACACAGCAATACTGAGGATGTAGAGGCTATAATGGGAAAGTGTGTTGCTTTTCCTGTTTTCCTAAAGCTATGGAAACTGAGGCTTTCAGGGTCTAGATGAGATTGTAAAATATTTAATCACTGTTGAGTTCTGTCCTAATATGCTCTTGGGAGAGTATCCTGGTTAGAAGGGCCTGTGTGGACCAAAGGAAGTTATGGATGTTACTACAGCATGAGCATTTCCACCCTATGATGATTAATAATCTTTCTGAATGTGGTTGAAAATTTAGTTGCTTTAATCAGGCCTTTTGGCAATGGATAGAAATTGCCTCTTGAATCTGTGAGCACAAGAATTTGTCCTGCAAGTAAGGATGAAAAGCAGCTTACCCTTTCCTATTGGTGTCCACTGTCCAAGGTAGCAGGTAATGCAAATTATGACTCAAGTTTGTGCAGTACTGTCCTTAGTTCAAGGGTTTACTACACAGACTAATCTTGCACAGAGAGAAAAATACCACTGCACTGAAGATCAGTTACCCTTTGCCCTGATCCAAAAGCTAGATGCAGCAACTGCCTTTGACAACTTCATTCTGCTGTACAATGCTAAGGGTTAAAGATCTTGTATCAGTTTCTTATGCTCTACCCACTCAATCACTTGGGATTGCTGGGCCATGCATATTCTAAATCTGAAGTCTTGATGTATGAACTTGCTTTGCTTACCATAATATGAATGAAATCTATTTCTTCCCTGGTGTTTACAGAAGCTAGAGCTGTATGAATTTGCTGCTCTAAGCTTCTAAACCTTTAATCCTGATGTTGTATAATAAGAATCCTCATATGCTTAACACAAGTAATATGAAGAATATATTTTGAAGTCTAGCTTCTCTTCTAGGTGTCCAACACCATTTTCCAAGTTGATGGTGTGGACTGGACTAAACAAGCTGAGCAAACAAGGCATCTAGACAAATCAAATAAACTTCAAAACAAGACCAACGTGAGAACTGCGGATTTAATTTCCATAAATCAAGAACAAAGTATGTAATGTCATAATAAAAACTGTAACTATTATCAGGGGTGCAAAGTTAAAAATGCATATGAAACTGCATATGAATCTGGTTTAAAGAAATATCATGCTGAACACTTGTATATCAATCAGTTTGCAGGATAATGGTGGGTATGAAGTTTTCCCTTACTCTTTCTTTTTTATTTACTACTTAAAAAAACCCAAAAAAACAACCCACAAACAAAACAAAAGTAAAATTAAACGGATGTTTGGTTCTTGTTTTGTGTTAAAATATATAAAGATATATATAAAGGAAATTAGTTTTTGATTTAATACTTAGGGTTTTGAATGCACTACTAGGGATATGTAAATCAGTCTTCATGAAGTCTGAGAACTGATGCTTCAATCTGTTGAACTTCACTGGCCTTTGAAATGTCTTCTGCTGAAACTTCATGGAGTTCTTTTCCCAGGGCACTTCATATGTATTTTGGGTTATCTTTGGCTTTTGGTGACAAGGATCTGACAGCAAATCAATGTCAAAGAGACTTTCACTATGGAATAAACTTGCAATTATTACAAGAAACTGTCTCTC